ACATCAGCCTACTGACTGATTAATCATTTTTATTTAACTTTTCCTTCATTTCATTATTTATATTTTTTATATTATTACTTAAATATTTCTTTTTTATATTATTAAATTTCTCTATTATTATATTTATTATTTTTTTTATCTAATTTTATATCTATATTTATAAACTTTTTAATAGTATAATTAAATTTATAATTTAACATAATTAAAATATTCTTTAATATAGTTAATATATTTTTAGTTAAAATAAAAAGAAAAAGAAATAGGAAAATAAAGTTAAAAGAATAAAAAAAGAAACAGGAAAAAAATAATAAAGTATTAATTATAAAGATAGCTCAATATAAGTAAAAATGATTAATCAATTTATGATAAATAGGTAGATAAATTCGTAAAAAATTTTACAGTTTAATCAATAAAGAAGAAGAATTAGATTAAACTAGTATAAAAATTGCAGTAGTATAAGCTGTAGAAGAATGGTATATAAATAATTTAACCATATCAAAACTATAATCTTATAACGTAAGAATAGCATAAATTATAAATAAAGTTAATATAAAATTATATTAATGAGGTATTTAATGAATATAATTTATAAGGAGAAAACAACATAGTATATAACCATAAATAATAGAAAAGGTAAATGTACCAATATGTAATATAGGAAATGATATAAGGTACCTACCTGTAAACGGATAATGGCGAAATTGGTATCGTATCTAGTTTGGGTCTAGATGATTATAAGTTCAAATCTTATTTATCCGAAATTTAATGATAACACTCGATTATAAAAGGTTGATAATTACATTTGTAATTGCTTATACTCTATATACAAAATTATAATTATAACTGTATAGGTAGTTGATTTATTTTACTAATATTATTGGTAATTATTGTCTATATAGATTTATTATTAATAGGTTTTAAGGTAAATTTAAGTAGAAATATTTGTTATTAAGTATAATTAAAAGTTGATATACTGTAGTTAGATAATTATAAGTAGATTTTATTATTACCATTTTAGGTTTGTTTATAGGTAGATTATACTTAATTATAACTGTTTATTATTATTCTACTATTTTAAAGTGTTAGTTGCAGTATTTAATAGAATATTTAATTATAATAATATTTTAATGAATTAATTTATTATGTAAATATAATAACAATTCTTTCTTATATTACTTTCGTATCTACTTATACTTTCCCTAAATTATTATTATTTAAGGTATAGAGAAGGAAATATACTTAGAATAAAATTTATGTATAATAAAGATACAAAGTTTAAATCTAAGAAGGAATAACCTATACTTTCAGTATTGCTAATATTTATATAATCTTTGTAGGTTTATATCTGTTATAAAAGATAGTTGATATATTAGGTACTTTATATAATTGTTAGATCTTTAGTTACTTGGTTGAATATATTTATTTCATAGTTCATATAGAACCAATGATTTGTTTACTTAAAATCTAAATATAAAAATAAGATAATTCTATATAACTTAGATAGAAGATCAAATAAAATTGGTAGTTTATATTATTTTTAGATAATTAAACCTGTATAATCCTTTAATGTTTTATAATTATACTAATAAGTTAATTATTATTTATTTCTAAAATATTTTAACTAAAAATTTAAATCTATACATAAATAAAATTGTGAAATCTTTTGTATATAAACTAAAATTAATCTCTATAACCTACATAATATACCATAATTGTAAATTATCTTAACCTAAATTACCTACAATAATGTTATATTATAAGTATAATTATACTACAATATTTATAACGTCAAATACGTCTTATATTAGATATAATTTATATGATGTATCATAAACTTTTTTTATAACTTAATTATTTTATCTTTATATAACATATTAAAGGAATTGAACCTATATTTTTTAGTTTCGAAGACTAACGCTTTACCTATTAAGCTAAATATGTATTAATATTCAATTAGGAAATAAGATCAAAATAGAGTTATAATTAAACTGTTACACTACATAGTAGACAGGTTTACTGTTGAATAGCTATTACTATCAAAATTTTATGTTTCTAAAGTTTAATGTATCAACATTATATTTTTTGTATTAGTAATTTTTATCATAATTTATACGATATTTTTTTTGTATTTAATTATAAAAATTTATTATATTTATTACCTTTTAATTTATTAAATTTATCTTATATTTCTATTAAAATAATTAACATATTGAAGAAGGTTTAAGTAATAGAAAAATATATAATAAAATAAAAATATAAGATATAATATATAGAATGTATAGGAAAGTAAGTAATAAATGATAAAATAGGTAAGTAAGAATAAATAATTAAGAAGACTAGATTAAGAAGTTAAAATAATAAATATAATTTATAGAATAAATAGTATAATAAAAATAGAGGTGGTGAAATAAATAGTTGTAAGTATAAAAACAGAATAAGAAGAAAATAATAAAGGATTATAAGTCATAATACATGTAAGAGTTAAAAATAATAGTTTAAGTTATAGTAAAATTTAGTGAATATATAAATGATATTATAATAGATAGTATAATTAGTAAGAATTTAAAGAATAGAGTTATTAGAACTATATTGATATAAGTAATAGTTAATATTTTATAATATAAATGAGGTATATAAGCAATACTAAAAGTATTGGGTAATTTAGATTAGTTGAGTGGTTGTGAAGTGTTATAGTAAGAGTATTTGTTAAATTACTTATAAGAATATTAGGAATTTATGAGTTGTTTTACATAATGGTTATAAATATAATTTAACTGTTAATAATTGGTAATTATAGTAATAAAAAATAAAAATGATAATAGTAATTTATTAAAGAAGTTTAAACAATAAAATTATTAGTAAATGATATATAGGTTATTTCCAGTGGTATTAATGTTTGTAAATAATTATTTATGTATTATAGTTTTAAATATATAAAAATGTTTATAATAGTTATTAATAATTTAAAAAGTAATTTACGGTTTGATATGGTGTTTATAAATGTAAGTTTATGATGGTTATAAGAAATAATAAGATAAAATAGCATTATAAAGAAAAAATATTTGTAGCAGTTATAATGGTATGTTGTAGTAAGATCATAATGAATAACATAAATAGCTAGAATA